AGTTCTTGGAAAAACATTCTGGGCCTTTTCATTCCATTTTCCCACAAACTTCTTGAAGCCCCTTTTTGAAGAACCTTCCTTTGGGGGATAGGAAACTGTTTTACATCACTAGCTCTGTTGCAAAGTGAAGGAGCCCTGGTAGAGACAGGGGCTGTGCACTGGGTTGCTAACCACAGGGTTTAAACAGCCCAAGCACTCTTTCTTCCCCTGTAAACACAGACAGCCTCGGAAACCCACAGCAGCAGTTCTCTTCGGGTCTAAGAAGTCACTTTGAGTCCACAGCAATGCGTTTGGTTTTGAGGTTTGGAGCTGTAAGTTATCTAGCTTTAAGATATGCTCAGAAATAGTTATTTAGCATAAGGGTAATTATTCCTTCTGAACCCTGCCCAAATGCTCTATAATTTAAAACAATATGTCTCTGAGCTTCTAAATGAATTGAGAGGCCTTTCTTAATTGCCCTTCCCCTGTTTTCAGGGATCTTTGGTAAATTAAATTGTTTTTGGCTGTGCTTTCTAATGAGGCAGGAAATTGAAGAGTCCAGATAAAAACCGGCATAAATCAAATACACCCCTTCCATCTGCCAAGGCAAACCCAGAGCAGTCATCTTTACAAATCAGACCAATGGCCTGGCTTTCTTGGTGGATGGGTTCAATCACATGTAAACATTAATATTAATGTAGATAGTAAAGTAGATCATATAGAGAAATAAGAGACAGTTAGATGTCATCTGGTCCATATCTACCATGATCTAAAAGAGCTCGTAGAGGGTATACATTTCAAAGGTAGACTTGTATATATTTTCTAAGACAGAAAATATTTCCCTCCCTCCCAATGCCCATTTGGATGTTTAATTGTCCATATTCTTTGTTTAACTTCAACTTATTTTCTTCTGTTACCCTATCATGAAAAATAAACCAAACCTAACCCCCCTGCTATCGAGTTAATTTGGGCGCACAGGGACTCTACAGGCCAGAAGGACCTGCATCTGTGGTCTCGAGACTGTCACTTTTTATGGGAGTAGAAAGCCTCGTCTTTCTCCTACAGAGTGGCTGGTGGTTTTGAACTGCAGACCTGGCTGTTGGTAGCCTGACTTGTAACCGCTACATAACCAGGGCTCCTCAGTTAATGAATATGTCCCTTGGAAAACTGGTCCTATACTTGATGATGTTGTTAACGTATAGCTTTCAGTCACACAATTTACTCAAAACTTGGCCATCTGTTTTGTAAACTATATTTTCATTTCATTTTTTCATATGTATTTTAAATATAGAGACAAAAATTAGATACAGCTTTCCCCTAAGGGGCAGCACTATCAGAAGAATAATTACCTGCCACATCCTAGTACTTATTTTCTAGTTAACTGTTAAATCAAAGGCATTATATTAATTTTGTGCTTTATCATGACCCAGACCAGAGATTGTTGTTAGATTTGCTGAGGGCTCCCACCTAGCCACCTTTGTAAGTGGGTTACTTTGCAAAGTTACTGTGGGCAAAGAGGTAAAATGAACCCAGGTGTCTACTTTACCTTCCATGTGAATCTCTGCAAAACAAAGGCAAGATGTTCTCAAGGTCATAAAACCCCAAGAATTGGGAGAATATGGGAAGCAGATAGCTAGTGATATAAGACTTCATGGATTTTAAAACAAAACCCTTTCACTAGAAGCTGAGAAACAATGGACTTATACCACATGATCCTTAAAAGGTTTAGGAATGAAGAGTACAGGTAAATGCTAGCAATGGGGGTGCAGGAGGGGGATCTTTACATTAAGAGAATTGGTTGGAAGTCAGTTAAAGAAGCTGAGTGTCTAGATTTCTTCTCCTGCTATCAGTAGCTGGGCAGTTGGCCCTCCCTGGTGCTAGCAAAAGACTACGCTCGACTCTCTAAAGAGAGTAGGCAGACCGTCTCTGCTTTGGGTTTGGGGTTTATATACTGAGACTAAGGGAATATTTGCATGCTTTGTTCTAAGGACCTGCCCTCTGCCTTCAGTTAGTTCCCGAAATACTGGCATCCAGGCAGGAAATGGAAGTGTCATCCTTGAAGCATCCAAATAGACTAAGGGGGCCGCTGTAAAGATGCTGAGATTCCAAGTCCTGATGAAAAGAGCACTGGTATACAATGAAGCTCGTGCAAGACATGTTGCGAGGTTCACGAACAATTAGAAACTGGGCTTGTAGGTGTAGGAGAAGCTCTGATGGGCTAGTGCGTTACCGTTGGGCTGTGAACCCAAAGGACAGGAGTTTGAAATCACCAGCCACTCCTCCAAGACAGGGCTTTCTACACCAGTAAAAAATGAGTCCTGGAAACTCAGAGGGGTAGCTTTATCCTGCCCTCCAGAATGGTTGTGAGTTAGAGCACACACTGCCACTGACATGGTCTCCAGACAGAGCTCAGGAAAAGGCTGCCAGATGGGAGAGAGTGAAAGCTCACTGCTGCTCGGATAGAGCCGTTTCAATACATGAAAACCAGTCTTCGCTTTTACAGAAACGGCTTTCTAGACAAGTGAACTGTGACCTTGGAGCACTATGATTTGTGGACACTGAGTTTTTCCGTTTTCTGTAAATGGTTTTCAAAAGTCAAAGACAAGGTGAAAAAAGTGGCAAGTTGAATGTAGTTAAATGTGAAATGAACTTGGGGCTAAATGGGCTAAAGTGCTAAACAATGAACTGTGGGCCTCAGGTGCAATTTTGTTTGGGAGGGGACAGCTTTGCTGTCCCTGTGCCAACAGAGAAAACGTTCACAGGCTTGTATGTTAGAAACTTCAGTAAATAACGTCCTCTTCCCTTTAGATGTATTTATTTTCTGAGGCTAAGATATTATCTGTGGTACTAAGAAACTGCCACCTTTCAGAGAGATGCAACCACCCATCTGGACCAACCCAGAGAGAGGCAGTTGGAAAGAGAGGGTGAAGACAGAGGAGACCTGGAGAACACTTGGCTGCTCTCAGCTTCCAGGCAGGGGTCTGTCTGTGAGAGAAGGAGGAGGAGAGGAATGAAGGGAAGGGCCTAGAAGGGCTGCTCAGAGAATCCAAACCAGAGCCTGCTGGAGATAGATGAAGAATAGGTCCGTCCCACTGAACTCTCTTCTCAGGAGGCTGATGGGCCTTCGTGAGGAAAACTGCAGGACTGCTGGGGAATGGACGGCAAGGAGCCTTCTGCAGGTGGAACTAGGGAAAATGGAAGGCAGTTCCAGAGAAAAGTGCACGATTGTACCAGTAAGTGATCGTGTGTGAACAAAGTGAAGACACTTAGCAAGGACGGAGGTAAGTAGAAGTCAACATAATGAACTTAAGCCAAGTCCATATTTCCCCCCGCTGTCATCGATGTGGCTAGAATACGCAGTGTTACACTGCTCTGTTTCTGGTGCATGTCCGAAGAAAGATAATGTGTCCCCAAACACTGCAATTTTGGTCTCTGATACTAATCCCTATTTTATTCAGCTTTGTGGAAAGTAGTTGATTACATGTTTACAGCAGAAAGGTGCAAGACGGACCAGGGATTCTTATACTCCTTCCCTGCAAAATTCAACAGCTTTGCCCTCTGGATGCCTCACCAAGGAACCCTGGATTCCCTTTGGATTTATTTTCTAAAGACAAACCATCCCTACCCTTGCTCTCATAAGAGGGGAGTGATCTTGATTTTAGAAAATCATGATTGACACACTCTGATAGCCTTGTGGGTAGATGAAGAAATGTAGGGTGGGTATTAAGACAGCTATATGGATTCAGGGGGTCCCTGGGTGGTGCAAAAGGTTTAGGGCTGGATCACTAGCCAGAGGTTGGCAGTACAAACCCAGAGCAGTGGGATCCGCTTCCGAAAGGTCACAGCAGCGTCGAGAACTATTTTGGTGTGCATCGCGCTCGCTCCATCCCGTGGAGTCCCGAGAGTCTGAGAGCGAGTGTGCATGGACTCAGAGCTCACTGGACCGCGGGTTCGTGGAATGTTTACTCGTGGGCAGGAGGGCTCCAGTGGAATTGGAAAGGCCGGATCCTGGGCTCCTTTTCACCCTCCGTTTCTACCAGCAACTACAATGATAGCCTAACAACACTCAGAGAGTGTGCAGAATGATGCGGGGTCAGCCAATCTACCCTACAAGAGATATAGCTCCCAAAGAGCATCAGGTTGGAACAATGCGTGTGCAGGAATCACCTGAAACTTCATAGGAACCAAACGAAGTGTCGTACACTTTGACAATGAACAAAATGCGTCCAGGATGAGAAACAAGTTTTAAAAGTTTCTAGGAAGAGGCTGTCGGACTATTAAACGAAAACGCAACGTGAGTCAACAGTGGGATATGGATGTTTAAAAAGAACAGGGCGGTGCCAGCTTAGGCAGCCCTGAAGTATCACGATCAGGAGGCGGCACATTTTTGTCTGTAGTGGGTCAGAGAGTGCGTAGGAAGAGGCTTTGCCGCCTTCCTGGTCCTTGCCACCACCACCGAATTTTATCATCGGTAGCCTGGGAGCAGCCCGGGAAAGGATGTAAAGAAATCTGAATTTCAGATCATTTTCACACTTCACAAACTATCCCTCTTTTTGGGTTTTAAAAACATTTTAAAATGTAAAAACTATTCCCAGTTGTGGGTCATACAAAAAAAAAGTGGCAGGCTGAACGTTAATTACACTGATGCTTTGCTGCCCTTGCTTAGCTCATCAAAGGACTGTACTCTGCCTGGCCACTCTTCCTGAGTTAATGAGGGGCATTTGCAAATGAAGCATTTCCCAGGGGACACAGTGGTGGAGGAGCTGAAGCTTCCTGAGAAGAGAAGGGTGTTGAAAAATATGCAAAGAACTGTCAAGGCCCAGAAAAATGCGAGGAAGTTACGGAGAGACAGATTTATCCTAGCTTAAGGAAGCATGAAAAAGCAACAGACAAAGAGTTATCCATAGAAGGGGCTGCTGCCTCTTGTTGTAGAACCACCTTTTGAGAATGAGGCGGAAGAGACTGCCCACAGGACATGGGAATAAGTGAAATATTCAGAAAGGTGATTAAGTACATCTCACCTTCAAAAATCCTCAGGACCTCTTGATTGATATATTTCTGTATTTCTTCGAATGAAACGCCATCAACCTAAAGAGGGAAAAAACATGGTCTGTTTACCGAGAGCCCAGCACAGATGAAGCACAAGAATAAAGGATAGAAATAGGGTCCTGGAAGGCAGACTCAAAACATTTATCAGCAAAAATGCTTTAGGACATTGACTATATTAGGCAATATCTACCTCTTGTGCTTTATTAAATGCTGAAAGAAATGGACCGCGGTGCCTAATTGCTTTAAAAGCTGGGGGCTGGAATCAGAACCAGTACCATGAACTTGTTCCTGTTAAATGGCTTTGTACCGCCAGGAAGACATCTCCTAGTACCTCATTTTCTGGAATTAAAGAATTTCAACAGTGTTATTAGGATGTCAGTATACCAGTCACCATTTAACTTCTGCTCCATCTCTGGACACTGGCAAGGTCAAGACTAACTGCTATGTCTTCCAATGGTGAAGGAACCTTGAAGAGAAGTCCAGGTATGCCGGGATACTCTCGGATTCCGTTTTACTCAGGGGATACATCGTACTAAGTTTGACCAGTTTCATGGTAAAGTCTACGCTGCAATCACACAGTGCAGCAATTTTGAGTTCGAGCTGCTAACTAACTGCAAAGTCTCCAGTTTGAACCCACCGAGCTCTCGGGGAGAAAGCGGGCACTTCCTGCTCCTGCAGAGATGTACAGCCGTGGGAACCACGGAGGCAGTTCTACTCTGTCCTATGGGGTTCCAATCTCCTCCATGGCACTGAGTTTTAAGACTGGGATACAACAGGCTTAATAACTCTGTGTCCTTGGACATGATTTTGCATTTATAAAAGTGGGCTGAAAAAAAATCTATCCTCCCACGATCCCTTCAGGACCAGTGGTGTGAGTGGTGATACTGGGAGGGTGGAGGGAGAAAGGGTTGGAAAGAGGGAACCTATTATAAGGAACTATATGTGACCCCCCTCCCTGGGGGACGGACAACAGAAAAGTGGGTGAAAGAAGACGTCGGACAGGGAAAGATATGACCAAATGATAATTTATAAATTATCAAGGGCTCATGAGGGCGGGGGAGCGGGGAGGGAGGGGAAAAATGAGGACCTAATACCAAGGGCACAAACAAAAAGCAAATGTTTTGAGAATGATGAGGGCAATGAATGTACAAATACGCTTTACACAATTGATGTATGTATGGATTGTGATAAGAGTTGTATGAGCCCCTAATAAAACGATTAAAAAAAAAATCTATCCTCCCAGATTAATCATGAAGCTCAAATGAGGAATGTATAGTGAGTGCTTAGAAGAGGGGCTAAATAAGTGGTCTCTGCTGTTACTCTCACAGAGAAGGTTTAGGATCACTTTAGTTCCTTAAAAATCAGTGTGATAACTTTCACTGTGAAAGGGACACCTGGTTGCTGGAAGCCGGGATCTGTGGAGCCCTCAGCACACTTACTAAAGGGCCGGGGAGGCCTGGAGAGCCTGGAGGGCCCTGGTGGCCGGGGGACCCGGTGGAGCCCTTGTTTCCTGGAGGCCCCACAGGACCTAGGGCGCCCTTTGTGCCTGGAAGGCCTGGTTTTCCACGTTCACCTTGTGGGCCTCTGTCTCCTGGAATGCCCTGGTCGCCCTGTTAAGGAAAATAATGACAACAGAGAATTACATCTGTGTGGCTTAAGGGCAGCAAAGGTTCTGAATTCAGGCTGGTCCCTAATGAGACTGGTCCCCATAAGACCTTGGGTAAATTGCTTAAACTCTATGTCGTAGCTTTCTCACCTGTACTGTGAGGATAGTACTAGTATCCATGGTGCAAGGTGGTGTTGAGAACCAAGGAGGTAAAGTAAGTAACGTGCTTACAATGACAGTTAAGATCTTGAAAGCACTCAAAAGTTGGTGACAATATTAGCTGTGCATCGGTGTCAATCGATAACAGTAGCATTTTTTTTAACAGTAGCATTTTTTATAATCAACACCAGTGTATTTAACATACCCCTTGATCAATACTCTGTGTTAAAAAAAGCCTCCACAATCTTTAAACTTTTAAAATGATCTCATGATTCAGATATGAGGATGTTCATTAAAATGATATTTATTACAAAAATTTTATTAAGTGCCAAGAAAAATACAGCCAGATAAATGAAATAAAATATATACAAACAATAGAAAAATGCAATCAATAAAAGATAGATGTATATACTTATATCTGCTCTCAAGGAAACAAAGTCATCACATGACTAGGTGAAAAAAGTCATTTATAAAGCAGTGTGATCCAATTTTTGGAAAAGTATGCATTTATTCCTCTTGACACATATATGTGTAGACTATGCATAAGGCAGAGAAATGGAAATATTTTCAAAATAGCAATAGTGCTGTGATGTGGAATGAGATACTTTTTCTTTCTAATTTTTATCATTTGTAGCTTCATATTTCCCTCTGTTGTCATGGATTATGTGCACAATAATGCAGAAAAGTAAAAGAGATGTATATTAACACACATATGTAGTCACACACTAATAGACCTTAATAGAAGTTCACCAAGTAACAACACTTGAGAAGACTGTTACAGGGGCGTGACTCCAAATATACTAGCAGATGTTAAGATTAATTTAAAGAGACAATCATACTTAGGAATTATTGCAAAGCTGGAGTAATATATCAATAAGCAAAATCAATTCAAATAAAAGCAAATAGCACAGTTGGTATTATTAATAACCTAACAATACATTAACTTTTCTTCTCCAATTATCTAATCTGTTTTTGCTCCCCTTTACCCAATTTGATAATTCTCCAGGTGAATGGTTTTCAAGTGGGGCGATTTATTTTGTTCCCTAAGAAGCACTTGGTGATGTTTGATGACAATCTTGGTTGTCACAACAGGGGTGGGACAAGGGTAGTGCTTCCTGGCATCTCAGAGACTAGCAATGATGCCAACTCTCTTAGAATGTGCACATAATAGGAAATGAAATGACAGGAAATGTTAGTATGGCCGGGACTAAGACATTCTGCTCTAGATAATCAGAGCAGGGGAGACAGCTGTAGTAGGGATATGTGTTTGAGACAGGAAGTCTACAAAAGCTTTCCAGTGTAGAACAGCAGACTCAACTCAGCTGGATACCAAGGACAACCACGTAGGTGCATCTGCTAATCATCCTCTTCTGGCTCTTTCATTGTCATTGTATGCTTAACAAAGCTTTTGGGTCACACAGACCCTATATTTCCTTTGGTTGTTGTTGCTGTTGGATGCTATTACGTTGGTTCTGACTCCCTAAAACTCCTAGTGTTTCCATATTGGGAGATTTGTAGGCTCCTCCACACATAATTTATATAAACCAGCCAGAGGACAATTATATTCAACAGCCTTAAATAATGATTATAAGAGTCATATACATACACGTTCTCCTTTGGGACCTCTGTCTCCAGGCTTACCCATGATGCCCTGAAAAACAGATGTCAACACTATAAATCACTGCTTGCCAAGATTCCTCATCAATCTAATTGATCTAAATGTTGACAAGCATTCTGAATGCGATTATGCATTTGCCCTTTACTTTTAAGTGCTATTTTCCATACCTGAGCACCTGGTAATCCATCTTTTCCATTTATTCCCTATAAAGAAAGAAATGTTAATATTTTTATAGCAACATTAAAAAAAGGGCAAAGTTTCAAAGACAGTCTCTTAATCATATTTCAATTTCTATCTGGGTTAAGAAAATGTGGTTAAATGAAAGTAAAGATTGATAAAACTAGGTAGCGCTGCGTTCAACTCCTGTTTATTACTTTGTCACTTATTAGCTAAAGCATATGGAAGAAATGTTGAAGTAAAAGAGTCGAAAAGAAGATTTCAAAGGGTGGGTCAAAAAGACAGAGAAATGTTAAAATGAAACACGAAAATATTGGGAGGTAGAACCAAAATGGAAAAATATGCCCAGCATTTCTCAAGCTGAAAGAACTGAAGGAAAACATCAAGCCTCAAGTTTAAATATGGAGGGATTCTAAGGGCAGAATACTGTATGTTGAAAAACATCATCAAAAGAAGATAAAATGAACACACAGAGTCATGGCACCATAAGGAACTGGTCGATATCTAACCACTTCTGGAGGCAGCAGATGACTAAGAACCAATGGTATTGATGGAAGAAGTCCTTGGTGAAAACAACTAAAAAAACTCAAACCTACTGCCATCGAGGCAACTCCAGTTCATAGTCGTCCTATAGGAGAGGGTAGAGCTGTCCCCGTGGGTTTCCAAGACTAACTCTTTACAGGGGTAGAAAGGTTCATCTTCTTCCTGCAGAGTGGCTGGTGGTTTTGAATGGTGATTCTGAGGTTAGCTGCCCTAAACCACTACACCGGGAGAATACTGCATGGCTTACAATCAGGAAAGGTGTTCATCAGGGTTGTATCCTTTCACCATATTTATTCAATCTGTATGCTGAGCAAATCATCTGAGAAAGTGGATTACATGAAGAAATAGGTGACATCAGGATTGGAGAAATATTCGTGAACAACCAGTGATATGCAGATGACACAACCCTGCATTCCAATAGTGAGGAGGACTTGAAGGATTTATTGATGAAGATCAAAGATTACAATCTTCACTGTGGAAAATTCTTACAACCAGACCAATAAAGCACACCATGATAAACCCAGAAAAGAATGAAGCTGTCATGGATTTCATTTTACTTGTATCCACAATCAATGCCCATGGCAGTATCAGCCAAGGAATCAAAGGACATCTTACATTGTTGACATATGTTGCAAAAGACCTGTTAAAGAGCAAAGATGTCACTTTGGGGACTAAAGTGAACCTGACCCAAGCCGGGATATTTTCAACCCTGTATGCAAAAGTTGGGCAACGAGTAAGGAAGACTGCAGAAGGATTGATGCCTTTCATTTCTGGTGTCGGTGAAGAATATTGAATACATCATGGACAATCAGAAGAGCAAATCAACTAGTCTTGGTTGAAGTCCAGTAAGAGTACTCCTTAGACGTGATGTCTAAGATGAGACAGCTCATGTACTCGGACATCCTATCCAGAGAGAGCAATCCCCGGAGAAGGATGCCGTGCTTGGGAAAGTAGAGGGTGGGGGAAGATGAAGAAGACCCTCTATGGGAAGACCTCACACTGTGGGAGCAGACATAGCAAGTGTTGGGTAGACAGGGAAGGGTTCTGCTCTGCTGTTGGGTCACAGGGTTACTGGGATTTGTCAGGACCTCACAACAGTCTCACAGACCCGTGTACCTTACTTAATTCAATAGCATCAGCACTTTCATCTACAAGCGAGGCCTCAACTGGAAGGATAAAAAAACACTGAAAATTCATAGCACCCTATAAATAGTCAACAAAAATTAGTTTCCTTCCTTATTGTCCTATTAGGCACGTTTTAAGAAACGGTGCTGGTGGCTGGGATACAGAATTCACTTTTACCTTCTAACAAGATTTCGTCACAAAGAATCATTCTCTGTGAACGGTCTCAGCTGATTCTGGGGAAATCTCATTACATGGCCAACGCATGAGACTACTATGAAATAAACTGTCAGTCGGAGAACGATTGTTATTTTTCTGTTGGAAAACACCACAGGAAAGCAAGGAATCTGTAATCACAGCTTTTGAGAGTATTAAGTAGTGACTTTTTATTAGAAAACTAGTCTTTTCCTGAACTTTACAAGACATTTCTGGAGGTGGTAATAAAGCCCGGGCCTGCTCAGAGATTTATAAGACTGTGAGAACTATTGGCTGGGAGATGTAAGAAGGAAAACACTTGGGGTCAAATCCAATACCTAGAGTCCAACAGCAGATGTGTTTTGGAGATTTGATTTGAAGAGGGAGATCAAGGTGAGGAAAATGATTTCTGCGCCAGCAGGCAATGGCATGGACATGCATCTCTGAAAAGCCTACGAGACTTTTCTGCGCCGGAATGGATTCTGTGAGGGTGGAACTGCAGACAGCCGCATGTTTTCCCTGCTGTAAATCACACTCAAGTCTGTCACAGCTGATAACCCCACCAAAGTCCCCCAGCCTCTCAGAAGCAATCTGGGACTTATCCAGCGTACTTTAACTAAGAACATGCTACCTGAAGTGTATGGTTCAAAGAATTTATTACATCCAAGAACACAGCACAGAGATAAAGCTGGTTAGGGGAGAGGATGTGAAAGAAGCCACCATGTCACTTAAATAAAAGAAGACAAATCTAGTGTAAAACTGTAGTGCGTGCTTTTGGCAACAGAATAAGAAAAGAAATAACCCTATGCTCCCCAGCCCCCACCCCCCGCCACATAATTCCCGTCTTGGACTTGTGCTGTCCCTAGGGTGGCTCTGAGTTGGAACTGACTTGATGCCCCCCCCCAAAACAAAACGAACAAGCCATTCATCAGACTATCCTGCGTGTTCTTTGTAGATGAAGGTGGTACTAACTTTCCATTTATAGGGTATATGCTTCTTTCTTCCATCTTCTTTTTTTTTTCTTTGCCAGAGCCCAAACCCCAGGTAAAGCTAATGTTTGGTTTACCTTATGTTTGCATCCAAGCACCTCGCTGCTCCACTCTAAATGGGTGACAGCCCACTGAGGTGAGCCCCCCCAGATCCCAGTCCTTCTTCAAGATCTCGCTCGTTGGTCCCCTTTCTTTCTCTACCTACCGTTTCACACATCTTCTGGTATCTTCACCTGCGCACTCTTCTCACTCAGGAAAGAACCACCTCGCCTTCCTTCCACAAGACTCACCAACCCGGGTGTGGTTGCACCCCAGCTTCTACCTTTCCTCCGCCTCTGAAAATGACTGCCGCGCTTCCTAGGGAAGACCACTTCCCACGTATCAGTGGAACCTTTCCTTGCATGCCTCACGCACAACTGTCTTTGTTCTCTTGCACCGTCCAACCTCTCCCTTTCAGATGGAGCATTCTTATCAGGATATTAACATGCTGTCATCTCTCCCGCCAGTGGCCGCCAACTTCCTAAATCAGTAGAGAAGGGTCAGATCTCATGTAGTGATCTATCTGTGTGCTGACGGCACTTGACTTCCAGGGGACCCCGGTCTCCTCCTTGTCCTCCTATCACTTTTGAATGCTCCTTCTCGAATTGCATTCCTAACAGTGGAAGGAACCTCTCCCCTTTCCTGTTCACAGTGACTCCACTTTCTCCAGAAAAAGCAGCGGTTGCTATTGAGGCCATTTGAACCCACTCTGACCGCACGTGCTTCAAGGCAGGATTGTGCCCCACAGGGTTTTCAATGGCTGTGGGTTTTGGAAGGATAACTCCAGGTCTTTCTTCCAAGGTGTCTTGATTTCCAGCTAAGTTCTTAACCATTTTCTGTAACCCAGAGACTCTATTTAAGTATCTACAATATTTCCTCCAGACTTGCTCTCTGCCTGAATTCCAGATGCATATATCCACTGTGTACTTGACATTTCCGTGTGGGTGTTGGCTATTCACATATCCAACATAGAGAACTCTTGGTTTTCCCTCCCAAACTCTCCTTTCCATCTTCTCATCTCCCTGTTTACAGCAAGTCCGACTGGCTAAACCATCAATGTATCTTAAATCCTTCCTCCAGGGCTCCCTGCTCCCACCTGCATTATCTCTCATGGACGCGTCCCTGGTGGTCTGTGACGCCAGACTCAAACGCAGTGTCCCAGCTTCCAGCACCCGGGATAGGCCTGGTCTCTAGGAGGTCCTCAGAGACAGCACCCGGGATAGGCCTGGTCTCTAGGAGGTCCTCAGAGACAGCACCCGGG